TCATTCTCAAAAAGAACTCTAAATAAGAACTCATGGTATGATATTTATAGATTTTTTCTCAAAATCAAATCTTTAGGAAGAATCTCTAAATTTATGCACTAGATATTGTATCACGATTTTTTAAGAAAACTTTCCAAAATATCTTTTTGAAAATAAAATCAAAATCTTCAAATTAACTTTCCAAAATTAGATAAAATCAAATCAAAACTTTCAAAAAAGAAATCAATCTTAAATCAAAAACCAAATCTAATCAAATTTTTAAAAAGAAAATTAATTTCAAATCAACTTTTTCTTTTCTAAATCAAAAACCAAATATTGAAAAAATTTATTTGGATTAAAAATAAAACGTTTACTTTTTCTTTCCTTATTTTCTTGTGTGTGAGACTTGCATGTCAATGCATGAGTTAATGCTTCTAAAAGCAATCTAGAGAGATGAGACTCAATAAACTCAACTTCATACATCCTAAGACTCTAATTAACATTAAAACAATATACTCTTGAATCTTTCTTCACTTTGAAACTTTGACTTTGATGTTGACTTTACATATTTGAATTACTTTTTCACTTTTGCATGTTGCCTTGATCTTCAAACTTCATTTAGGACTTGTTGCACTACCTTCTAATTTGTGCATCCATGTTGAGCTTGTTGGTGCTTTGTAATAATCAAAACTTTAAATATATAACTTGGAAACCTATGGTTCAACAACCCTTATCCCATGTAAGCCCTATTTACTTAGTGAGATAGTACTTTTTACAACTATCTCTACCATGATTTCGTCATAATTTACAGCTGAAACCAATTAAAAACATCTTGAATATAAAGAAAGTTTGCACAACACTTCATAAACTTTTTTCTTTGAATTCAAGCATATCTATGATTTCATAAATATTTTAATTATAAATTATTGTAAATCTTGAATTACAATGGTACTAAGTGTTGACGGATACATATAAACATAGCATGGATTTATTCAAAAAAATTCTTGTAGACAATACAAAGAAACCAATACTAATTTTTTAAAATACATTGTTTATCTGTTATTCAAAAAATAAGTAGAGTTCGGAGCTGATGCTGGGGTAATAGTCAACTCACGGTTATTTCAGCACACCTTCTACCCGGTCACACAAGGAAGCAGTAGGCATACATGCATGCCCGAGTAACCCGGGTACAATGCCGACGCGGGTTCTTCATGAAAATACCGACGGGATCATGCACAACCGTTGACAAAATCAAATATGCAGATGCATTCTGAGATGAGGAATACCGCTTGGGGGCAATCCGCAAGTAGGATCAAACAACTCAAGCGTATTCCTGACTCAAAGTAGCAATATGGTTGGTGCTCAACCAGCAAGGCAAAAACGAGGAAAATGACGCTGCACATAGGGAAGATAAGAACCCGAAAGCAACATGTCTGCCGAAATTGGGAGGCAACCCCACAGATCGACATTGTACCTGGTCCAAACATTGGGGGGTACCCAAAATATTTCACCGGGTTGATACTCAACCCATCGGAATAAGGGGGCAAAGAACATCCCGTGAGAACAAGAATTCACTCGTAAGCAGAGCATGCAAGTCTACAAAAGCGCAAACACATTCGGGAGTTAAAAACTGGGAAAGAGGCTCTCATAAGTTCATCCCGACTACCCGGATACCCAGGTAGCCCGGCTGAGGGGCAACTGTTATGGACCCGTATAATGGGCCCATTAAGTGGTAAGCCCAACAAGGGGCAATCCAAGATATGGATTGATGTTAATCAATCATCCTAATCTTAATGTGTCAGCATAGCTATCCACTCTACCTACAGGTAACCTCTATAAATACAAAGGCAAACCCTAAAGGTACATTCATTCTCTCTCTTATTGTTATGCTGTCACTGTGCACACACACACCCCATTGGCTAACGCCGTTATAGTATTCTGTGCACAGTGATCTCCTTGATTCAAGGGTATCTCCCTCATAGATACCTTGAAGAGGGCATCAGATCTAATATTAACGTACTAGCCTAGCTGGGCTAGACATCTCTGTCTCAAGGACAGAACAAATATGAACCAAAAATCCTAAGACTATACATATTGTTTTCCACCGTCAATATGTGTAGATATTATGCCGAGATTCTTGCCCAACGTTTGCCGCATTTATTCAACCACAATCCAAAACCATCACAAACTTAATGCATCTTCACGTTATGCCATTTTTGCATCCTCATGTCTAAGGGAGTTAGACCACAAACTCAGCCTATAAACGGGGATAAACCCCCACTTATGATATACTTCAAATTTCTTGCAAACTTTTGGCAAACCTTATTTACATAATGTGACAATACTTTTTGTTGCTATCTTCGTCATTTCTTCATCATAATCACCGCTAGAGATTGATGTGAAACAAACATTCAAAAACTCTCTCTCCCTATATATATATATGACTGAGATCTTTACATAACGTTCACCGCATTATGCATAGGTTTTTGTAATCAACTTATGCAGACATTAGGCCAATATTCTCGCGTAACATCCATATATTTTTTCAACCACGGTTGAGATAACCATCACAAACTTAATGCATGGGCTCATTATATTTGCAACCTCATGTCGAAGGGAGTTACACCATAAATGCAGCCTATAAAAGTGGATAAACACCCACATATAATATACTTTGAATTCTCCTTAAATTGTTGATGAGCCTTATTTACTTAGGGTGACAATACTTATTGCAATTATATCCATCATAATTCATTAAAAGTGATTTATATTTTTTCTTTTATTGATACAATGATGATATTGAGAATCGAATCTACGATCTCATGTAAATTATCGAAATCCCTCATCCCTCACCACTATACCAATAGCACTAGCTTAAAGTGACTCATATTTTAAGTTCACATATTTTTCTTTTATAGTTATACTGATATTTAAATTAATAACTATATAAATTAGGTAAGTTGTTTGCTACCAATTCACTTCTAATAATAATAACTTAACTCATACGAGTACATTAGAATAGTGCGTGCCTAAACGTATTGTGAATTTGAGCTAAAATAAGTATATATAAAATGAGTTTTGATTTTCTATGTTGCATGAGAATTAAATTCTCATGTTATGCTCAACTAGTGGTGGGCCCCATATTAATTATAAAAAAAAACTTTGTACGCAAATGGAAGAGTCACAACATGATAATTCAATTCTCATGCAACATGAGAAAATATTTTTCCATATAAAATATATAAAAATGTCATATTATATAACTACCATGGGCCTCGCATTTGTTAAAAAGAGAAAAAAAAAATTTGTACACAAATGAAAGAGTCACAACATGAGAAAATATTTTTTCATATAAAATATATAGAAATATCATATTACATAAAGCACATCGCTCATCCATTTAAATTACACGAACATTTTACGTGCCTAAAAGAGTTTGTACAAAAAATACTTTCCATAAATATTTATTGATTTGCTTGGAACTCTTTTATAATTATTGTAAATATGCCATTAAAAAACTCCACCTTTTGAATAAGATGGACCGCTGGTTAGGGTTGTTAACGGGCCGAGCCGAGCCGAGTCGAGCTTTGATCTTAACAGGCCAAGTCTGTATTTAAACGTGTCCGACTGGCCTTAGCCTGTTACCTGTTACGAATATAATATTGGCCTGTGGCTTAGTTTAATTACAAAAAATAAAAGCCTGTGTGAAGCCTGTCTTAGCCTGTTAGCATAAGAATAAAAATAAGAGAACAAAATTTCACAAAACATCAATTTCCAGATAGAAACCTTAGCTTCCAATTTGCAGCAATAATTTACAAAGTCTACAATAAATAAAAAAAATTAAAGTGAGAGAAGGTAGATAACATGTTATATTATCTTAGCCCATTATAAAAAAAGTGCCAACAAAAAAAAAAATAAAATAAAAAAAAAAAAATAAATTGACACAAACGAGCAGTGCACAGTGAAACGAATGAGTTTTTGTGGGTTTGTTTGTGTGAAGGAGGATGGAGGATAATATAGAACAACACTAGTAATTCCATAAATATACATAAATTTAATATATATCCAAATAGCATAATATAGAACAAAATCATTCAAAAAGTCTATTAAACCAATAAAATGGGGTGAAATAAATTGATGAAAGAGAATTATTACAAGTAGTATAAAAAGTATAAATAAATATTTATATACTAGGTTAGCCTGGTGTTTATTTGTTTACAATAATCAAATAATTTAATGGTATGTATTTATTCAAAAAAGTTTATAAAGATTTGTTTATATATTTTCTTTTTCTTTTTCGCTAAGCATATGTACCTAGTGTTAATAAGCAATAAATACAGTTGGCTACTAATGGTAGTTTCTATGTAGCTACACTCACCTACAAGAAGGCCTCTCTTAGTACCTAGCAATCGAGTAGATGCTAGATAATTTAATTTAGCTGCATTGCTTCTTTATTAATTTACACCTACAGTGTCAGTAATTAGCTAGTATTAACACAGTGCAGACGAAGAAGAATAAACAGGCTATAAAATAAATGAAGCCCCTCACAACACAACAATGGCATGAACTCCTAAAGTCCTAACACGTTCCACCATATTGCACCTTTTTTGTAATTGAGGTCCGTATATTATACATTATAAAATAAAAAATTAATGTTTTTGTAATATTATTGTAAATTAACATAAATAAACTTAATAAATAATAATGTAGAAAACAATACAGTAACAATAACTTCAAAAATTAATCTGTTTCATAAAAAAAAAAGCGAAAATGGAAACAAAGTAAAGTCACAAAAATATTATTTGGATCTTATCCTGTTAGAAGCTGTTGTTGGCATTGTTTGCCTGGCATATCATCGAGGATCGAGCCTCGTCACGAGCGTTTTTTACTTTCCTTTTATTATTATTATTATTAATTTGAGTTCCTCTCTGCCATTTTTTTAAATGTCATAAAAAAGATTATATATATTTATGGATTTGGATATATAATTATTGATATTTGGTGTGTGTGTGTGAGAGAGAGAGAGAGAGAGGAAGGTGCAGTAGTGGCAGTAGTAGTGAAATAAAAAAGAGAGAAAGAAAGAAGCAAGAAAAGAGAGAAACCCCCAATTAACCCTAGTGGGTTTTTGTGTGCACTGCACTGAATCGAAGACGAACGATGAAGAGGGAGCACGAGCATCTTCATCCCAACAACAACAACAACGCTTCTTCGATGGCGAGCTCGAGTTGCGGTGGAAAATCGAAGGTGTGGGAGGAGGAAGGTGGCATGGACGAGCTGTTAGCGGTGGTGGGTTACAAGGTGAGGTCATCGGACATGGCGGAAGTTGCACAGAAGCTTGAACAACTCGAAGAAGCCATGGGAAGCGTCCAAGACGAAATCACACAACTCTCGTCGGAAACCATTCACTACAACCCTTCCGACATCGGAAACTGGCTCGAAACCATGCTCTCCAATTTCGAACCCTTACCTCTTCAACCAGACGAATCAGACAACAACAAGCCTTTTGAAGATTCATCTTCTTCTGACTACGATCTCAAAGCCATTCCAGGCAAAGCAATCTACAGCACCATAACCGAGTCACCCTCCTCCAAACGACTCAAACCGACCGAGTCAACTCAGACATCGACTCGCCCTGTGGTCCTCGTTGATTCTCAGGAAAACGGTATCAGACTTGTCCACACCCTCATGGCGTGTGCGGAGGCTGTTCACCAGAACAACCTTCCACTGGCGGAGGCGCTGGTGAAGCAGATCGGGTTCCTCGCGGTGTCGCAGGTTGGTGCTATGAGGAAAGTCGCCACCTACTTCGCCGAAGCTTTAGCGCGCCGCATCTACAGGCTCTACCCTGAGAATCCTCTTCATCATTCTCTCTCCGACATGCTTCAGATCCATTTCTACGAGACCTGTCCTTACCTCAAGTTCGCACACTTCACCGCAAATCAAGCCATTCTCGAAGCTTTCCAAGGAAAGAATCGCGTCCACGTCATCGATTTCGGCATCAACCAAGGGATGCAGTGGCCGGCGTTGATGCAGGCACTCGCCTTGCGCCCTGGCGGTCCTCCGGCTTTCCGGTTAACCGGAATCGGACCTCCCGCCGCCGATAACTCCGACCACCTCCAACAGGTTGGTTGGAAACTCGCTCAGTTAGCCGAAACGATTCACGTCGAGTTTGAATACAGAGGCTTCGTTGCGAATAGCCTCGCGGATCTTGACGCTTCGATGCTGGAACTCAGGCCGAGTGAGACTGAGTCAGTGGCTGTTAACTCGGTGTTTGAGCTTCACAAGCTTCTGGCTCGACCCGGTGCTGTGGAGAAGGTGTTGTCCGTGGTGAGGCAGATTCGGCCGGAGATCGTGACGGTGGTGGAGCAGGAGGCGAACCACAACGGACCGGGTTTCTTGGACCGGTTCACCGAGTCGCTGCATTACTACTCGAGCCTGTTTGACTCGCTGGAGGGGTCGTCGGTGAACTCGCAGGACAAGGTGATGTCGGAGGTGTATCTGGGGAAGCAAATCTGTAACGTGGTGGCGTGTGAGGGGATGGACCGGGTGGAGAGGCACGAGACGCTGAGCCAGTGGAGGACCCGGTTCGGTTCGGCCGGGTTCACTCCGGTTCACTTGGGGTCCAACGCGTTCAAGCAAGCGAGCATGTTGTTGGCGCTGTTTGCGGGTGGGGATGGGTATAGGGTGGAAGAGAACATTGGGTGTCTCATGCTTGGTTGGCACACTAGGCCCTTGATTGCCACCTCTGCCTGGCAACTCGCCACCAAATCGGTGGTTGCTCACTGAGTCGAGTCAACTCACCGACTCGATTTCACCCGCTTTTTTTAAACTTATTTCAATTCATACCCACCAAAAAAAAAAAAAAAAAAAAGTTGTGGGGATGAGAGGGCATTGTGTTATATGCTGTGCTGAGCTGTGAGCACTGATTGCTTGAGATTGAGACCCCACCATTGTCCATTTTCCTGCCCCAAACATATGTCTCTCTCAATTCCTCTTTCTCTGTTAATTTACCTTTTTTGGCTTAGGAACCTTTTTATTAAATCGAATTTTTTTTTTTCTCTTTTGGGTTTGGTTGGAATCTCTTGTAATTTCTCTCAGGGTTGGAATCAAAAAGGTTAATGTGTATTTATTTATCTTTTTAAATATGTAGCTTGCTGGTAATAAATAGAATCTTTTTTTTTGTTGGTTTGGTTTAATTGGACCAGTGATTATGATGAACGCGATTTGTATGAAGCATCATTGTCAAATTAAGAATGATGGTATCCCTCTGTCTGGGCCATGGAGCCAGCTTTGATACAATTGGTATGACAGACAAGTTACCATCTGTGGCTAGCTGCTTTGCATTAGCCCAGATAAAAGCAGCTTGCCTTGTGCGGAATACATTACGAGTTGAGTTGATACAGCTTCAATGTGGATGGAACTGTAACTGCAGCGCTTGTATATGTATATAACAAATTTACTGCAATATCAACCGAATCCTCTTTTATGTCAGAGAAAGCAGAGTCATCAGAGAGTTAAAAATATAAATAATAAAGGGGTCACTTTAATGTCAAGATCTTAGTAGCGCTATTCCCCTTGAAAAGTTTCACTTTTAATGGTTATTCCTTTGTAATTATTGTGGTACACTATGCCTTGCTTCTGCATGCTTCTTTTTCCTTTTTCGAGTTTCGTTTTTTCTCTGCCAAAATTTTCTGGGTTTATTTCAGTTGATATGATTTTCTGTATATTGAAAGAGGGTGACAACCGGTCTGCTTGACCCATCTCCAAGAGTCCTGTGATTTTAATATCTTATATATCTAAGCACAAAAGTATCCAAAATGAAGCATCATACAGATCACTGGTCAAAGCAAGAATCATAATCCCCATTGGCTTATTCTTTTGTTAACAAGGTGATAACTTTGATTGTACCGGCCAACTACAGAATATTAGTATTGGAGTCTCCAGGAATCTCGAGTTCCTGCGATCCTCTGGCAGAGGAAACCTGCAATTTCTTTTACCCCATGTTCTCTCTCCCCTTCTCTATTTTTTTAATCAATTTTTTTTCTCTATTTTAAACCTGAACGCTCTGGCTAGTGCAGGATGCATCTTCATTTTCATATGGTGTTCTCTGTTCTATAGTGTAGTAGTAATTAACACAAATAATAAATGACCAAAGCATTTTCAGGTGCAGACTCTGTTGTAAAATTTGCAATATCTCCTGTAAGCAGTAACGTATTTGATCAGTTATTCTAGCCTATCCCCCGAGCTGGTCAGACATTTACGCTCTTAGAAATTAGAATAAATTAAATGATAAAGAGAATATTTTCAGTTTATTCCTAGAATGATCCTTAACAACCCAAACGTTCATTTGGCTGACCCATCTTGATATTACAAAGGTCTACGAATTGATTAAAAGTAGGGAAAATTTTAAAAAAAGGAGCAATAATTGAGTGATGACAACCACAAAACTTAAAATTCAATAAGGTGACACATCCTTCCATGCCCACAGGGTGAGAAGGAACAATCATATGAACCAAAAGAGACTGCCTCATCAGCATTTGTCAACATAGGAGGAGTCATTTAATTAGTGTTTTGCAGGCCAGTAGATGAATCAATGAATGAAAGATGCATATGTAGCACTCGCACTCATATTGGTTTCTTCGTATTGGGCCATCTTCTTTAGTATATGTTTGCCACCTTCTAATACTATAAATAATGCACCATACACTATACACATAATATCTTCTACTTATTCGGGCCCCACCAAAATTTTATTCCAATAACAACTTGCCTTCTCGAGTGATTTTAAAGTTTTTCGGTAGCCCACATCAGTTCTCTATTTCAATGCTCCACGTGCTGCTGTTGCTTTTATTATCTTTTCCCCTTCTTTTTTCTCCCAACAGAGAGTAGATGAGGTCTCTTTCAGTTACATACATAAGCAATAATATTTTAAAAGGAAAAAGAAAAAAAAAAATCCCTTTAACAATAATGAGTGAGTGGAACTTAGAGAAGCCAAGTCAAACCAATATTGCTGCATGCTAGGTGCATATTCTTGGATCGCAAAACAAAGCATGTAAAATTGAGTAAGAGATTAACTTAGTCAAAGTCATTATTGGTTTGCAGTTTTCTACAAATTGTGGAGGCTGTGGATGACAACTAGTACATATATGTATATACACAAGTCAAGGTAGTTTGCTCAACAGGAATTTGATGGTCTTTTGGGAATTGATAATTGAAACAAGCTGAATGATAATGCGGCGGTGCCTATGCATACATAAATGTGTGTAGCAGTTAGGTGTCACATTGGTGAGTGATGGACAATTTCTGAGAGGGTCTGGATCACTCGTGTGATTAGAACAGTAGAGCATGTGGGGTACCTGAATATGACCCTGTTCTTGTTGAACAGTAAATTAAAGTTTATTATGCATGCTTTGTTTGACCTATCCATGGCTTAGCAGTTAGCTCTCTCACCATCTCTCCCAATCCTCTACGTTTTTGCTTCTGTTCGTTTTCCTTTCTTTCTTTATGAGCTTCCTAAAATCCATGCCCCCCCCCCCCCCCCCCCCCCCCCCTCCCCCCTCTTTATTTTAATTTTCTTGGAGGCCGCGTTCATCCTTATCCACTTCAGCGGTTAATACTCTTACCCTTGTTATTATTATTACTATTTTCGAAATTAAAGTATTAAATTAATTTTAAAAAGTTAGTAATTTAAATTGTTATAAGATATAATCACTTAGATAATAATTGTTATATGAATAGAGAGTAAAAAGATATGTATAAATTAATGGTTTAAAACATAAAAATAAAAATAAATTATCCTTAAGACGAATGTTGTTCTCATTATTTGTAGTAGGTATCTCTAAGAATAATTTAGTACTTTAGAATCATCCGTTAACAATTTTAAGAATATTACTTAAAATAATTTTTAAATGATATTTTAAATATGAGACCAGAGAGAATGATTTGAAAAATAATAATTTTTTTTTTTTAGATATGCTAATCGATTCATTGCTTTGTGACTAGTCCGATTCGAAGTGAGTCTCAAAATTAAGACTTTAAACCTCCCAAAGACATTATTAGGGAAGATCGAACACAATTATTTCATTAATCTACAATTCTATTCCTAATATAATTCTTAAATGAATACGACCGCTGATAAAACGTCATTTAATGGTCAAATCCATATATGCATTTGTTGTTGATGGACCCTCCTCCCTTGTTGGGGCGTTTGGTACGAGATTTTTTTCGAGATTTTTGAGAAATTAAATTTTTTTAAATTTTAAATTTTTAGATTTTATCGAAAATTAGATATAAAAATCATATTTTTACACTGAGATTTTTGGATAAAAAAAAAATTCTCCTCTACCAAACGCCCCCTTAAAGCATGAGCTCGTTCATTTTTTAAAAATGTGCGTGTCGGACATGGACACGCTCCGACAAGTTCCGACACGCGGTCAATATTTTGGGACACGTGATCAACTCTTCGACATGCTCCGACACGTTTTTCTGACACACAACCAACTTTTTTCGACACGTGGTCAACGCTCTTATGCGTTTTTTTTTGTCTTAATTTTATTTTATTAACTAAAAATAAAAGAAATTATTTATAAATCAATTTTTTTCTGTTATGAAATTTGACATGAAAAATTAACAAGGAACGAAAAATTAGTTTTGTTTATATTTATGTTATGAAATTTGAACATTTGACTGGTTATATGACTTATTATATGTGTTAAATATAAATTATATTATATATATTAAAAATATTATTTAATATCAAAATGTGTCTCAATGTGTCAAAATATAACATTTTTTAGAATTAAGGTGTCGGCGTATCGTGTTGTGTCCCGTGTCAGTGTCGGTGCATCATAGACTCTAGGTAATTGAAAATTTCTACAATACTCCTGTCCTGCTTACTTTTTTATACATCCCTCCAATAAGAATAAATACCAATGCTAATTGATGACATGAAAGAGAGAAAAATATTATCTTAAATAGAGGTGTTTAATTGTGAATGACTATAATACATACTATCATCGTACTAAAAATGAGCTCGAGGTAATGGTACTTATGCAAGGAATTTCATACTAAAATTAAATTATGATTAAGCTAAAGTACGTTAATGGAAAAACTGAGTGTCTATGGCGGTTGAAAATTGAGTCGCATAATTGGGCCTAACATATAGTCTGAAACAACTACAGATAATTGGGCCTAATATATAGATATGGAACAACTGCCACTAGCTGAGCCTAATTAGGAGTCCAATACACTAATTTCAGAATAGTGTTTATGCATAACCCCTGTGAGAATGTTTGAAACAAGATAAAAGTTACTTTTAAGTATAAAAGGAGTCCGTTTAAGTGATATATTTTTTATTTCACTTATGCAATTATTTGGATTCAAGTCTTTGTGAAAGCAAAAAATTTCTTTTGGGAAAACTAATCCCACTATAATGTGAATATACCCGATTTAAATATTGTCTTATGTGAAAAATACCAGTGAAAACTCCAAAAAGTGGTGATACATTTAAAAAAAAATAAAAAAAATCCTCCTCGAAACTTTTAGTTTTTAACTCTTTTTCTTCAATATAAAAAAATTATTTTATAATAAGAGCTTTTATAAATTATATTTAATTAAACTTTTTTAATTAAAACTAAAAATAAGACGTGAATAAGAGTAACAAGTGATGGCTTCCAAGCACATGCACCAATCGTACCATTGCACAACACTGCCTAAAGCGGTATGATGTAAAAAACAAACCATAACTGCTTAAGAGCCATTTATATAAAATCCTACCACTTAAGGAGTGGGATGATAGAAACAAACTTCCAATATTCTTTGGTGACAAGAATAACATCTACAGGATTACGTATTTGTTTACGCCATTATCATATTATTATCCTCTTCGTATTGTTATTAATATTTTTCTTTACGAAGAACTCCTTAACCAACAATTTAGCCTCTAATTATTGCCTATCCAAATGATGTGGTTGTTTGGGACGACAGTTTTTTCAGGATTTTCGAGAAACTGAATTTTTTAAAATTTTAAAATTTCAGATATTATCATAAACTGGATGTAAAAATCATATTTTTGAAAATTGAGATTCTCGAACAAAAAAAAAAAAAAATTCTCCTCTGCCAAACGCCCCAGTGTTAATAGAAGTATTATT